GAAGAGTTAACTAATCATCTTTAAGGACTTAAATCTTTTTTTTTTTAATCTCTTTGCCGATCATGCGAATTGTATGTCTTGATGATGTTATTAAAGACAAGAAATGGAAGAAAGCCATGGATGAAAAAATTGAAGCCATCGAAAAGAGTCACACTTGTGAGTTAGCCTCACTTCCTAAAGGTCAAAAGCCTATTCGAGTCAAATCGATTTTCCAAGAAAAGAAGAATACAAGTTGTAAAATTAAACGTCAGAATGCAAGATTGGCTGTTAAAGGTTACAATCAACAACATATTGTTGGTTATGATGAAGTATTTGCACCGATGGCTCGTTTCAAAATAATTGAATTGATTATCATCATAGAAGTACAAAATTGATAAAAGATTCACAAATTAGATAATAAATCAGTCATTTTAACATTTTCTAGAAGATGTAAAACATGCTAAAACCTCATGGCTATTTTGTGAAAGGGTACGAAGATAATGTTTTGAAGTTGAAGAGAGCTTTGCATGTTTTATGCAAGCACCAATGACATAGCACTTGAGACTAGAAAAATATAAAGTATGCTCTCTATAGGAAGGTGAATCAAATGGCGATATCTTTACTGTTTTATGTAGATGATCTAATTTTTACACGCAATAATTAGAAACTAATTGATGAGTTCAAGAGAACCATGTCGGAAAAGTTTTATTTGATTGATATTGGTCTAAGACCGTCTTCCTTGGCATTAAAATAAAGTGATAAGAATATGGAACTTTCATTTCTACAAAACATAAGCCAAGATGATTCTTGAAAGATTTAAGATAGTGCAAGTTGTGCAACCCAGTTACACTCTGTGGATTATGGAATAAAATTATCAAGATTCAATGATGGTGAAAAAGTTGATTCAACTATTGTCAAAAACCTTATTGTGGGTTTGAATTACTTGACATGTGCAAGACCCAATATTTTGTTTGGAACATGTCTGTTAGTCAATACATGGAGTTTTCTACCATTATCATTTCTAGGCTACAAAGAGAAATCCTACATTACATTAGAGGTACTATTCTCTATCAGTTATTTATTCATATTTTGATTATTTCAAGCTTGTTAAATATAACAATAACCATTCGGCCACATATGTGGATGATAGAAAAAAACAAATGTCGTGTTGTTTATGTAAGATATTACCTTTACACTTTCAAGTTGTGAAGTGGAATATGTTGGTATTGCATTATTTGTTAAGAAATTTGTATTAAAAATTAGTTAAAGTACATTTGCAACAAGGTGATTTAATGGAGATTTTTATTGATAATAAGTCAACATTATTGTTAGTATATCTCCTTAATTATATTGATTGACTAATCTCCATGATTTGGTCAATCTCCATGATTTGTATAATTGTATAATTAGAGCATGATTTGTGTAATTAGCATTAGTTACTTACCTTATGTGCTTGCTTTCTCCACCTATAAAAGGAGGGCTCTTGTACAGTTTTATTCATCATAGAATATAGAAGTTATTCACAATTCTTCATCTATTCTCTTAGTTTTAACATGGTATCAGAGCCATCTTTGGTTCTTGGCCTCTAGTTGGTGTCTTTTTTTTTTTTTTGGTTTTACGCATTCCATCGCTCTGTCACCACTTCCAGCCTTCGTTCATCGATTCTTTTGGTATTCCAATACCATAAATCGATCATGTTGCTCTGGAGCTTTTGTTTGGTGCAAAAATTATTTCGAACCAACATCACCACATCTGTCGCCACTCGTCGTCATCTCCGATGACCTTCCAGCCACTTTTTCAGCCAATTTTTCGTGCTTATTCCATCAGCATTGTCCTTTGCTCTAACTTGGTTAGCATTATCATTTTTCTGTTATGGCTTCTTCAAATGATGTTGCTCGTCCTATAGAGATTATTTTTGAATGGATCTAACTACAATGCTTGGGCCCAACAAATGTCAGTTTTTCTGATTGGTCAGAGATTATGGCATTTTGTCATTTGAACAAAACAAAATAAGAAAACTAATAAGCAATCCACAGAGGAGTTTGATGAGGCCCTTGATGAATGGAAAAATACTCACTGTAAGATCCTTTCCTAGTTTATTAATACATCAGCCCCTTCTATTCAGAGTCTACTCCTTAAGTTTCGAAATGCCAAGCTTGCTTGGGATTTTTTGGCAAAACGTTACAACTGTGGTAGTGATGCTACTCTTAAGTTTCAGTTGGAGACTAAGCTTTCCCAAATGCATCAGGAACTTGGACAGTCTATCGCTGAGTTTCATGCTCAGGTTAGCAGAATTTGGGATCAGCTTTCTCAAACTGACCTCACTTTTTCTGATGAAAAGTCGATTAAGCTTTTCGCTGAATATCATGATCATTTTCAGTTCATGTATTGTATGATGCATATTCGGGATGAATTTGAGAATACTCGAGCATCTTTGTTCATCGATCTCCTCTTCTTACACTTGAAGTTGCCCTTACAGAGCTAATTTCTGAGGAAATACGACAACAAACTCGTCGGGTTCATTCTACTGATATGGTCTTGGCTATTGCTCCATCTAGCTCATCTACTCTGGCCACTCCTGCTGCAGCTGTTGCTTCTTTTAAACCTCGACATTCCAACGGCCAATGCTACTATTGTAAGGAAGATGGCCACCGTATTTCTGATTGTCCTAAGAAGAAGGCTAAGGATGCTAGGGATGCTCTTAAGGCTAATACATCTTACTCTTTCAAGCCTGTTGCTACTGATTCCTCTTCTACAACTTCTTTGTCATCACTTTTTGCAGCTGACATTGAGGCAATTGTCACCTAGGTCCTATCCTGTACTTCTACTCCTTTATCAATCTCCACAGGTAAATCTACATCTTGGTTTCTTGATTCTGCCTGTTGCAATCATATGACCTCTGATTCCTCTTTAGTTACCCATAGAAAGTCTTTAAATCCCGTTCCTTTAATTTATACTGCTGATGGTTCACTTATATGTGTTAGTCATTTCTGTACCTGACACATATGTTGTACCCAACTTGTATTTAAATCTCCTTTTTGTCGGTCAACTTGTTGAAAGTGGTTTTATCTTAACCTTTTTTTCACAAAGGGTGTGATATGCAAGATCCAAAAATGGGCCAGCTAGTTGGGACCGAGCGTAAAATTAGTCGCATTTTTGAGCTTACATTTCTGCATTTGCCTAGTTCTTGTTCTCCTTAATCTCTTAGTGCTGCTATGTCTTCCAACGTTTGACATTCTCGTCTTGGTCATAATCCTTATCTCGTGTTCAGTCTTTAGCTTCTAGTGGTTACTTAGGCAATGTTAAATTTGAACATTTTAATTCTGTGTCTTGTCAACTTGGGAAACAGAAAGCTTGACCTTTTAATGAAAGAAATTCTTTGTCGTCTGCACCTTTTGATTTGGTTCATTATGATATTTGGGTATCTGCTCCTATCTCTACTAAGGGCGGGTCTCGTTACTTCGTTATTTTTGTCGACGATTATTCTCGGTATACATGGATTTATCTTTTGCATGATAGCACTGGTTTACTTAAAGCCTTTCGCGATTTTAAGCAGATGATAAAAACTCAGTTTGATCGCACCATTAAAGTCTTTTGGTCTGATAATGCCATGGAGTATACTTCTACTTCTTTCCTTGAAGAACTTCAAGAGCCAGGCACTTTGTCCTATCGATCCTGTCCATACACCTCCCAACATAATGACCGTGTAGAACGCAAGCTTCGTCACATTCTTGACGCTGTTCGCTCTCAACTTCTCTTTGCATCCCTTCCGAAATTCTTTTGGGGAGAAGCTGCCCTTACCACTGTTTACCCTATTAATCGAGTTCAAACCCCTACTTTTTCCAGTAAGTCTCCATATGAGGTTCTCTATGGAAAGGTACCTGATTATTCTCTTATCAAAGTGTTTGGTTGTGCTTGCTTCGTCTTACTTCCACTTCATGAACGTACAAAACTTGAACCTCATTTTCGTCTCTGTTGCTTTCTTATTTATGGGATTGAACACAAGAATTATCGGTTCTATGACCCCATAGCCAAGCATATTCGAGTCTCTCGACATGTTCAGTTTTGGGAACACAAAGTGTTCACTAGTATCTTTCCACTTTCATCTGATTGTCTCTCATACTCTCCCATTTTCACTGATCGTGCCATAGACCTCTCTCTAGATTTTTCCTCTAAAGCAGGTCTTATCAACTCATCTGGTGATCGCTCTATAGCTCTCACGAAATTAGATCGTCTGATGATCATGCCATCACATCCATCCCTCCTGAGTCCTTTGATTTGGATGTTTGTCGTTCTAGTAGGGTAAGAACACCTCCTACCCATCTTAATGATCACCATTGTTTTTCAATTCTTGACTCTCTTTACGAGCCTCGCAATTATCACGAAACTTGTTCTGACCCTGTTTGGCAGTAAGCTATGTCTGAAGAACTTGACGCTCATCACAAAACCCATACTTGGAATCTGGTTGACCTGTCTCTGAAAAGACTGTAGCTGGGAACAAATGGATGTATAAGAGGAAAATGAACTTCAATGGTTCTGAAGTAAGACATAAAGCTCGTTTAATGGCAAAGGGCTTTACTCAGGAGTTTGATATTGACCACAAGGAGACATTTACCCCTGTTGCTTGTATTACCTCCGTCCCTTCTGTTTTGGCTGTCGCCTCTGCACGTCGATGGCCTTTATTTCAGATGGATGTCAAGAATGCCTTCTTACATAATGATTTGGACAAGGGGGTTTATGTGCAACCTCTTCTAGGGTATCCTCATCCTCCTGGTAAGGTTTGTCATCTCCGACGCGCATTATATGGGCTTAAACAAGCTCCCCGTGCTTAGTTTGCCAAGTTCAGCTCCACTGTTGCACAGCTTGGGTTTGCTTCAAGCCCCTATGATTATGCTCTTTTTACTTGTCACACTGACACTGACATCACTATTCTACTACTTTATGTTGATGATATGATCATTACTGATGATGATAATTCTGGTATTCATGAGCTTAAGCAGTTTCTGTCTTAGCATTTTGAGATGAAAGATCTTGGTTCTCTTAGCTACTTCCTCGGCTTAGAAGTGTCCCCTACCACTGATGACTACTCTTTGACCCAAGCTAAGTATACTTCTGATCTTCTCACCCGTACTGGTCTCACAGATTGTAAGATAGCTGATAGTCCGCTGGAGCCCAACATCAAACTTCGTCCTACTGATGGGGAGTTCCTTCCTGATGCCACTCGTTATCGACAGCTTGTTGGGAGCCTAATTTATCTCATTGTTACTAGACCAGACATTGCCTATGTAGTGCATCTTGTTAGCCAATTTATATCAGATCATCGTTTCATTCACCATGCAGTTGTTCCTCGCATCTTATGCTAAGTGAAGGGAACATTTTTCCATGAGCGTCACTTTTCCTTTCACTCATCCATGACGTTGAAAGTTTACTCTGATGCTAATTGGGCAGGGGACCCTATTGATCGCCGATCTACCACTGATTTTCTTTTTCTACTTGGTGACTCCTTATCTCTTAGAGGAGCAAAAGCAGACAGTTGTTGCTCGCTCTAGCACTGAGGCCGAGTGTCGAGCCCTTGTTGACACTACTTCTAAACTTCTTTGGCTTGGGTGTTCCTCAGCCCTCTAGCACTTCGCTTTATTATGATAATTATAGTGCTATCCAGACCGCTCATAACGATGTCTTTCATGAACGTATAAAACACATTGAGATCGACAGTCATTTTATGCGCTATTATCTTCAGGAAGGGACATTTCGCCTCTTCTCAGTTCCTTTGACTGATTAGCTGGTTGATATCTTCACAAAGGCTCATCCACCTAGTCGCCATCGTTCTTTGGTATGCAAACTCCAGTTGGTATCTACAATACGACCTTCAGTTTGAGGGGGGATGTTAGCATATCTCCCTAATTATATGGATTGACTAATCTCCATGATTTGTGTAAATGTATAATTAGAGTATGATTTGTGTAATTAGCATTAATTGCTTACCCTATGTTCTTGCCTCCTTCACCTATAAAAGGAGATCTCTTGTACAGTTTTATTCATCACAAAATATAGAAGTTATTCACAATTCTTCCTCTATTCTCTTAGGTTTAACAATTATCTTTGCTAATTATTTTATGATCGAAGCAAGCACATCGATAAGGAGTATTATTTTGTTTGAGATTATGTAGACAAACAACATGTGGGAATAAAAATTAAAATAAATTTCTGTTGTCGGAAATTCGACTAACGCAATCAAAAGAAGAAATAAAATAAGCAGAAAAATAGACAGTAAATGAAGCGAGGTATGCCAATAAAGTAAGCAAATCTCCTTAAGACAGATTTCGCCCCCCAATGAAGCGCAAACGGGATTATGGACGTCTGTCTCCCAAGATACAACGCTCCTTCCAAAGTCGATACTGCACAATACCAACCTTGTCGGTCGAACCAATGAATGATCGTACTTGAACGGAATAACGACGGAAGTATAAGAGATTTGTTACGAGCAGAATATGGAGATAGAAGAATTTAGAAATCAATTGAATTCGTAATTGATTTGGTGTGTCAAAAAACGAATCTGGGGTTCCCTATTTATAGAGATTGAAGTGTCTCATGGAACAGGTGTGTGACATTTCAGGAACTGGTGCACCACTTGGTCTGATTCGTCTTAGCCATTGGATCGCACTATTTTTATGATCTGACAGCCCAGATTGAACCATGAAGTGAAGTGTCCATTCATCATGCCTATTCACCAATTTCTGAACAGTCACAGCCATACGGATGCCACGCGTACACCTAACCGCCATGCAGGACGAAGGGACGTGACCTACCACTCGTGCGCCACCTAGAATGCCAACTCATCGAGCCTTGTGCTGCCACGTCATCGAACCACGAGTCCATTTCCGAAAACTATAAGGCTTCCTAGCTCCTCGCGACGATGCGTACGTGAGAAGTGCCAAGTGCGCCTCTAAAGCGCCCAATGCGTACTTTGCGACGTGCGCGTGCCGGGACCGGGACCGGGACCGGGTCTGGGTTTGGGTTTGGGTCCGAGGAGCGGTGCTAGTGGTGCGAAGCACCACTCTAGTGGTGACTAGCCTTTGGCTAGTTTGCTAGCCTTTGGCTAGCTAAAGTTAGCCAAGTAGTAGGTAACATATTAAATTATGTTTTATTTACACAACCCACTATATAAACAAGACTATTTTCTTGTAAACTTTCGATGTGGGACTCCTTTCCATATAAAAACCACTTAAAATGGGCTTATCAACATATGGGCCTATATTGGAGACTTTTCCAATTCACTTAAATTAATTGCAATGACCCATATCATTAAATATTACATTTAATATTTTAAACCCAAATCAAACCCAAATCAAATTCAATTAATTCCAACAATCCCCCACATGAATGGAAGAAGTCGACTCAAATCAAGGAAGAAGAAAGAAGAGTACTATCTGAAAGATAACGCATCAAGATAGGTAGCTTTCGCTTTGAACCTTCTTTAGTAAGAATCTATCGAACTCACTTGGCTAATCAGTGAACGCAACGTTTTGAACTGTCAGCCGTTATTGCAAGCTCAGACAACAGACCAAACACATTATCTCTCATATCAAACTTGGTTCTCTATTGTGTTCATTATTTCGGCCCTGAACTACTTGGGTTCTGCGAGTGCTTTAGAGAATTCACCTAAGTAAATTCTCATAGAACCGGCCAAGTTCGCACTAACATAGGTGATGCACTATAAAGAGTACCCCACTATAATAACTTGTACCATTTATAGTCATCATTAAAAGCAAAGCTTATCCTTAATACACTTCACAGTCAGCACTTTTTGCATCGTAGAAATGGGAAGGAGTTAAACTCCTAAGTGCTTCTTATCGAGTCATTCATAATTAGTTTTCCTATTGAACCTAGTCCATGGGATCTCCAGTTGCCAGGTTAGGTTTCCACTAAGATGACTCATTGGGTTTTAGGCTTTAAACCCATTTCCCTCGATGCGCAGTCTATACGCTCTCTAGATAACCCTTTAGTGAACGGATCCGCTAGGTTTTCTTTTGACTTAACAAAATCAATTGATATTGTTCCATTTGAGAGCAACTGCCGAACGGTGTTATGTCTGCGACGTATATGTCTCGACTTACCGTTATACACAAAATTTTCAGCCCTGGCTATTGTGGCCTGGTTATCACAATGAATACAGATAGCCGGTACAGGCTTTGGCCATATAGGAATATCTTCTATGAAATGTCTTAACCATTCTGCTTCTTCTCCTGCTTTGTCTAAAGCAATAAA